TCAACTTTGTGTTTCAGCGGGGTAGAGCACACTGTGTTTTGAATAGCTATCTGTTTCGGACTAAAAGACATCGTCACTTCCACCATTACTACGGGCTTCGATCTGGAAAGTAGAAAGAGCAGAAAAGTCCATCGGCAATCTCACAGATCTCGGAGCGCGAACTTGTTTTTGTAGGTGTGGTAAAATAAAGGCCTGACACACCCACGAGTATAATTAAACCACGTTTTCCGATGACATGATCTGATGAGCATTCCTTTAAAACACGACTTGCTACACTGGGGTCAGAATCGGGATCGTCCCTATGACGATCACTATATATACATATATATATACATATATATATATATATATACATATATATACATATACATATATATATATTACTCCCCACCACACGGGGGCATGTAACTTTCCATCACGGAGCGCAAACGCCTGCAGAGAGTGGTCAGGACTGCATCCGAAATCATAGGAACTCCCCTGCCCTCGTTGCAGTGCATCCACCAGCGCAGAGTTCTCAGGAGGACTGCGTTGATTCTAAAAGACCCAACCCACCCCCAACATGGACTGTTCACTCTCCTCCCTTCAGGACGGAGATACAGGGAGAGTCTGAAATGCAAAACATCCCGGCTCAAGAACTCTTTCTTTCCTTCTGCCATCAGACTCCTGAACGGGAATGGACAATAACATTACTTTTGCATTTTGCATTACTACTGCACTTTACGAGTGTTAACTACTGCACACTGTAAATACTGAAAAGACTTCTGTTGATTCATGTGAATATTTTATTTTGTTATTTTATTCCTGGGTATATTTTGTTATTTTTATTTCTTGATTTCTTTGGCATTCAGTGTGGACAGCAAAGTCAAAATGTCATTGTACAGGGAAACCTGCTTTCCTTACTGTACACATGACAATAAACGCTTTGAATCTTTGAATTCCGTACCAGTTACGACGGATAAAGCCTCTTGGATGAGGGGGTGAAATGTCTTCTTGAGAGAATTACATGTCCAGTTTGGACTTTTTTTTTTTTTCCCCAATACACAGACTACGGTCAGTGCTGACGATGTGTCAGGCCTTTATTTTTGAAACTGTTTTGACGGTCGATTTACCTAACCATTGGACAGAAAAGACAACAATAGAAATTAATTCAAACATGTTAGACAGAACATACGATTTCTTTACTAACCTGAGCAAGACAACCACGCCTTTTGAACCCACTGCAATGTCTGGCAGGCTGTCCCCACTTTGGTCGTAGGAGAACTCACTGAGTGCCAAACCAAAGAATCTGAGCCCTGTCATGACTTCTGAAGGGGTGATTTTCTAGAGAAAACAGGAATTTCAAAACACATTTGAGAACTATTTAACAATAATAATAATAAAAAAAAAAACAAACAAAATAAGTATTCACAGATAACTGTCTGCAATTTTTTTTAAAGTAAATTAACCCTTTCATGCATGACGGTCACTACAGTGGACAGCTATTAAAATGTCATTTTCTATGATAAGAATAGGTTTTGATGGCAGTGCTGCATATAAGCCTCTACAGTGGATTCTCAGGCGTCCACTGAAGAGGCTTATATGCAACACTGCCATCAAAACCTATGGCTCATGAGAACCATTAATGTCAGCCTTAGGCAGACCATACTGCAGTTGTGGTTCAGGTTTGACCCCGAGAGATGACGTGTGACTGGAGAGATGGATAAAATGAACGGTTTCAGCTCTTTCACCTGTGAGAAAATTGGATTGATTCTTGCTCCTCCTTCACCGTTGAATATATAGACACAGCCTTGACCGTCGTTCTCCAGCGGTGCTCCAACTGCTACGTCTCTTAGACCGTCTGTGTTCAGATCAGGCAGTACAGCGACAGAAGAGCCAAATCTTCCTTCTTCGGACTCATCCCCTCTCAGTACTAATGGGTTATCAAAGCGACACTCTACATTCTGGTACAGACATGAACGAGCGTCAGTCACGGAGAAGGACCCCCAAAAACAGCCTGAATGGGAGCAAAGGTGAAAGTCTTTTTACCAAACCATTTAAAGGACAAGCATAAACTCGTCCCTCTCTGTCCGTGTCCTTGTACATGGGAGAAGAGATGAGGATTATATCGGTGTAACTGTCGAGGTTTATATCCATGGCACAAACCACTGCCCCGAAATATTCACCAATCTGAAACTACAAGACACACAGGAAAATAATATTATATGCTGTACGCATGACCGTTTCGGATTAAAGCAAATATTTGACTGAAATTACAATAATTTCCGGACTATAGGCCACTACTTTGAACCCTGCGCCTTAAACAATGATTCTACGGGCCGCCAGCGATCAGTGACTTTTCTGGTAGGCTAACGGGCCGCCAGCGATCAATGACTTTTCTGGTAGGCTACTGTGTGTTCTGCTAGTAGCGTATGTCTGTCTGTGAATGGCTGTGTGCGTATAGGTGCGTGGGGCAGGAGAGAGAACTGTAGCGAAAGTTGAGAGCAGTTTGAGCCCTGTCATGTTGAAGCGTGAGTTGGTTATAGAGGAGCAGTGGAGGTTTGATGGTAAAGGAAGCGGACTTGGGTCCGGGAAGTCTTCAGGTTTGAGTCCACCAGCTGCCAAGTTACCACTGAGGTGCTCTGAGCAGAGCACACTGCTCCCCGAGCACTTAACACTGCCCACTGCTTACTTTGGTGATGGGTTAAAAGCATTTATTAAATTAAAAGTGGAAAAAAACATATATAAATAACATCTTTCTATGTGAATATCCCATGGAAAAAAAAAACGTTCTGCGTAACATCTTTCTATGTGAATATCCCATGTTACAACGTGGTCACCTGCGGCTTATAGAGAAGTGCGGCCTATATACAGTATGTACCTTTTTTTTATTTAGTGGGTGTGGCTTATATTCAGGTGCGCTCAATAGTCCGGACATTATAGTATGTTCAGGCACGTACCTTCCATGGAAACGGGTCAACCTTTTGTTGAGAACTTTCTTGCACTACCATGACCACTCCTCTGTGCTTATACCGCGGTACACCAGCAATGGTCAACATTCCTCTTGGGGTGCTTGCAACTGCCATTGAGTAACCTGAAGTTTTTTTGGACAGAGCAAATTCATAAAGTAGAGATGGATTGTTTGGTCTGATTGCTTTTTAATTGCATGCAAACATATTAACATATTATTAATTATCAATATAATCTGTGATAGCAAAATTCATATAAATATATACATATATAAATATATATATA